CATTTTTCTAGCGTGTGATCTCCCAGCAGCCTCTACTTTTCCTTCGTAGCATTTATCACAATTTGTGGTCACATAATTGTGCCATTATTGGTCCATCTGAGTGGAATGAGAGTTCCGCGAGGGAGGACCCATGGCCACGACACCTGCCACTGTGTGCCTGGCACACGGCCCCGTGCAGGGACACAGAAGATGCTCATGAGCGTGTCAATGACTGGGCGGTGGACTGCGGGGTCCGATGAGCAGACTCGTCCTCCAACAACAGGAGTGAGGAGCGCGCAGCCAGCCTGCTCGACATTCTCAGCGCCACGCTCTCTCTCGGCTGGGTCCTTGGCACCACATGTGGCCGGTGGGGCCACAGGCATGACCAGAGCTTGGTCTGATCCTTCATCACGCCCTGCAGGAGGAGGGGCTGGGGAGGTGACCATGACATGAATTTACACAGGTGGCTTCAAGGAGGGCAAGCATCCTCCATACCTTCTAAATGTGCTGAGGTCAACTTCAAATACCTTGGACAGCTCACTGTCCTTATCTCTTCCTCTCCCCAGCCCCCAGGGGTACAGGGTGAGAGGGGCCAGAGGGGGCGGCAGGCGGGGCAGGAGAGTGGCACACCCTGTGTGCTCACGCGGTGGGGACTGCTGTGGGGAGCAGGCCTGAGGTGTGCAGGGAGGTCCTCCCCGGGTGGCACCAGGGTCTCCTAGGCAGAGCTGCACACATGGACGGCAGACAGCAAGCTCTTCAGATGAGCAGGAACACTCCATACCCCAAACCCTCAAGGCAGTTCTGCACTCTTTGATGAGGAGTTCGTTATTAAAAACAAAACACAACTCTACACATGGGTGCGCTGGGACTGCTGCTCTTGTATCAGAAGGCACTGCAAACCCTTTATAAATGTAAACATGACCTTCTCCATTCACTTGTGAAGGATAAACAGCCAGGATTTTAATTACTCTGCAGCTGAAGGTTTGCACCCTCTGTGGATCAACTTTTCTTACCGCATTCACTGAAATCCAGCTAAAACACCACACCAAAAACGTCATTTATGACGGCAGGCCATCCTCTCCTTTCCCATGGCTTCTAGTTTCTGTTTTTAGGAGAAAAGCTAGCAGAGTTTATAAATCAATTAAAGTGCAATTATATATATATATATTCAAAACAACTACTATTAATCATCACCAACTGGTATTATTTTCACTGTTGATTCTTTTCTCCGAAGATGGTACTGGCAGCTTTGAGAAAGCAGTTGCATCCTCTCCTTCCTTCTGCACGACTGGAAAGGAACTGGGGAGTCTGAGAACAGCAACCCCCTAGGATGTTCATCAGAGAGATGCTCAGGCACAACTGTAAGTGCTACTGGAAAGAAACAAACACTTCTGCAAACATTAACTATGTATAAGGATTCATGACACTTTGAGGAAAATGACTCTGCTTTTAAACAGTGAAGATGTTTAACTCTATTTTCCATGTATGTTTTTTTCCAGATTTAAATTCTGGAGAAAGGCTTCCTTCCCTCTATGTGGTGACCTGCTTTAGTGTTACCAAATAGTTCCGTAATTCTAACCTTGTGGGGGGCTCCTTACATGTTCCTTTATGCATTTCCCATTTTGTACTCGTTGCACTTCCCCTTCTTCAACGTAGAGACATGGCTTGTGCATCTTTTTGCAAACACATCCATTTCTCTCTCTGAATGGGGAATATTCTGCTTTTTCAGCAATGGAGCCGGGGCAAAACCACATCTATGAATCTCAAACTCCCATAGAAATCAGTGTAATCAGAGGTAATCCTTAGAAAAAAGTCTATTTCACTTTCAAATAAAGGGGTACCAAATGAGCATAGTCAAAGAAAGAACATTTTGCATTTAGTCATTTTTCAAGAGATGCACAGAACATTCTAGAAAGGCATGAGATAACCTTAGGAGACAGTGCCAGAGCCTAGTGCCCATAGCTCTATAGTGCTAAGTGCATGAAAGTGCTATTTGTAGGTAACAAGGATGAACTCACATTCTTGAATTCCTTCAGTTCAGTCAATTATCTTTTTGTCCCTCCAACCACTTTAAAATTTCACATAGTTCTACTGGATCCCTAAAGAATCATTTTGAAGGTAACAACCTGGCCAATACCAACATCACCCCCCACCCACTCACTCCAAGGCATCACTGTAGAATCAATTTGAAATAGTATGCTTTGGAAATCTGAAACAATGGCAGTTTCTTACAACTTGGAAATAATTCCCTATGTGCAAAATTCCAAACTGAGTACCACAGAACCATTTCCCATCTAATGCATTGTCATTAGAAAAAGCAGTCTCAATAGAAAAAAAAAAAAAAAAAGTCAATAACCTGGTCCTTTTTTTGCATGTGGAAGGAGCCTGGTGTGAAAAGGCAGGATACACAAGTCTTAATTTGTTGAGAATGAGTCTCCAAGCAGACCAATGGTCTTTAATCAGTTTTCCCAAAACATAAATCACCTGTTGGTATAATTTAAGTAAAATTGAAGCAGTTAATTTTTCCAATGGATTTATTTTACCTAAATATTCTACTCCCCTTCTTTTATTTAAAATGATTTAAAAAAAAAAAAAGACCTTCCTATAAAGTCCAAACCACTCCTGTAGGTGTGGGTAGAAATTCAAGAGGAGAAAAGTCTCACATGGCAGAAACATTCAACTGGACTGGGCGTAGTGGCTCATGCCTATACTCCCAGCAATTTGGGAGGCTGAAGTGGGAGGACTGCTTGAGGCCAGGAATTCAAGATTGGCCTAAGCAACAAAGCAAGACCCCATAAAAACAGAAAAATCAGCCGGGCATGGTGGTGCATACCTGTAGTCCCAGCTACTTGGGAGACTGAAGCAGGTGGATTCTTTTAGCCCAGGAGTTTGAGATTGCAGTGAGCTATGTAGCCCGGGGAGACAGAGTGAGACCTTGTTTCTGCTCCATCCAAAAAAGAAACGTTCAACTGTTAACTAATGACACCTCAAGACAACACTTACAGCATTTGTAAAAGAGTGTATTTGAAAACCTAATACTGCTGTTTGGAACAGGACATAGTTGTCATCGCTCATGTCAGGCTTCAATCATTACCCACGTTCTTTTTGAGGGGATGAGACTTGTCTCATGGCAAGCTCAGAATATGAGCAGTAAGGAGCCACATCACAACAGAACACTGCTCTTTATCTGAGAGCTCGTCTGAGGAGTCAGGGGTCTTGTGATCGTGTGCTGTGTCCAAGAGAAAAAAAATCTTGTCTTTAAAAGCTGAACCCAGAACACCAAGGCGCCCCAGCTCCGAGGTGGGAGCTGCAGCTCCTCAGGAACCCCCCCCCCCGCCAAGTTCAGGAATGTTCTAAGCCGTGAAAGCTCCTGTTTGCTTTTGCCCAGACTTGTACACATCTGCTGTCCAGAGCTCTGAGTGGATAGGATCAGGGACTACATTGAACATCGATAGCTCTTTCTGCATAAAAATGTACACACAAGTGGCTTTGGGGTGGAGGTATCTTGTTCATGCATCTTAAAAAGCATCCCCCAGTTTGGGCCACAGGATCTTCTAGATGTCAGTCACTGGGGAGCCAGCATGACTTGGTTATTCCTTATTCACATGCCTACTTTAATCACAGGCCTAAGTTTGAATCTTCAAATTCAGAAACAGCAAGGCCAGGGTGGGAATCGGGCTGACAGTTACTGTATTAGTGATACTAAACAAGTTTGGTGCACATATTTATGGTATAAGACCGAGCACGGAATGCGAAAACTACTCATAAAAATTCTGTTTAAGTTTCTTTGATTTGTCCAACTGATTACAAAAGTATTTATCAGTTTATGGCACTTCAATCTGAATTGCCTCAAGTGTTCAGCTTGGCATTACTTTGTTATTTGAAGTACTTGAAAGTAATAAAATACGCATTTGCTAATTTTCTTTTACTCCTTTAAATTAGTCCAAATCGATGAAGTTTCAATTTTGTCATCCTAACTCTGTCATCTGTCTTATGTTCATTCCAGAAAGGAACTCCATTATTTGTTTAGATGTGACTTTTCATTTGCTTTTCAACTTTCCCTCATGTTTTATTCAGACTCAGCTGCCTTTAAATAAGATGGGAAGTGTGTATTTCACGTCCACACACTAAGGACTGTAGCTGGTCCAAGTGGAATCATTTATTCTTCTGCTGTAACCAGGGGCCAGAAGGGAACCCAGGGAGGAGCATCCAGCCAATAGCTTTGTTGTCAGATGGGGAGACTGAGGCCCAGAGAGGAGAAATGACTCATGTTATTGCTGCCTTTAACCAGAGCTTGCTAGTACGCAAACTCCAAACCAAACTGTAATTACTTAAAGTGAGGATTAGAATCAAAGGATCTTCTGATTCTTGCACTTCTTACAAACACATGTCTATTTATTCTTGCTAAGCATCCTGTGTGATTTTAACAAAACACTTGCCATAAGGCCAGTCTCCAATACAGGTCCAAAAGGGCAAGAGATAGATTATCTGGTCAGTCGAAGAAAACCATTTAGTTTACTCAGCAAATGAGGGATGCTCTTTAGTGCTTAGAGACTCCTTTTAAATAAATGACCTATGGTTAATTATTATCTCCCCAGCTTTTATCCTTTAATCTCTAGCTTGAAATTCTCTGGTAGTAATTGCTCCTAAACCTATGCCTGTAATCACAACTGCAGACAAAAACAGTTCTTTCTGTAGCAATTAAAAAAAAGTCCTCATTTTTTTTCCCGCTAAACTATGATATTTAATTAGTGCAATAATAGTTTTCCTCCTTAAAGGGATAATTACATCTTTAAACATATTTTTCAGGTTGGAGAGCTCTGTTGTGCAGGCACATTCTAGAAGACTTAATGTAAACATGATCCGTTAACCATTCATTTATGACTTCAAACATTACTATAACTGCATCTTCTGTCATACAAATGTTAAGTTATACATTATGTATCTTTCCAAGCACGAGATCAATTTTTAAACAAACCAGTAGAAATGATTATGTCACAAACTTAAACTGAGCTACAGAGTAGATTTCATAATTTCATTTAATATTGATAGCAGCTCAACTTAAATTTTGAAAAAGCAAATACTTTTAATAAATTTGGTGTGATTATAAATTTTGATACAACTATTATACAGGAGTGTGTACATATATAAATCTATATGCAGAATTATATACATTTCAATATATACCACATATATATTTTTTCTACTCACATTTTTCTCTTTAGTAAAACAAAGCAGTTTTACTTTATATAGATGTGCAAATGCTACATTACGTCCTGAGTAATTTAAGAGATCATTAATAAATTGCAGTAAATTCTACTTTTTCTGCTAAAGATCCAGTAGATTCTTTAACAAAAATGTGAACAGAAAAATATTTAAAAATATGCATTTAGCTTTGCGCTCATTTTGTGCTTAGCAGAAAAAGCTCGAGAATGCACAGTAGCATTTATGTTTGGGAAAATGGCCTTGGATATTCAAGGTTAAACAAATATCCTATTTGTAGGGATTTACAGAAATTTTAAGTGATGCCGTCTACATCCAATTTGTCAAATGGGGAAGACTCTAGTCATGATTGGACTAAAAATCCTTTGTGCAGAATATGAAATTCTGTGTAAACATCAGTGTGTAGGCATTATATAAAAGTTCTGATTCAAAGGAAGGAAAGAAGAAAAAATACAATGAAATAATTTAAAAAGCGTTTCTTGGGGTATAGCCAGCCACATGGAAGGAGTATAAAAAATACGGGTGTATTTTGGTGAAAGAGGAAACCAGATGAAAGTCATTTAAGGGTGGTCTGGTGAGCCACCCACTTTGGGAGGTCCCAGGTTGGCTTGGCTCAGGGAGCCCCAGATAATCAAGCCACAGCCATCTTGCCACTGCGCCGCGCAGTGAGGAGGAAGCGCTATGGGAAAAGGCCACATTCAACTTCAATGGAGCAGTAACAGCTCCCTGCCAGGGTCACCATGGTCGGCAGGCGAAGCGTCCCATCCCCGGACTCAGGCACTGGGTATGAAGACGTGAGGCAGCCCGGATCCTTACATGGGACGCTGTCCTGGGCCTGAGCCCGCTTCGAGGAGAAGGCACTGCTGTGTGGGTCCCTCCGTCACCCCCGGCTCTACCCCGTCCCGTGGCTGCTGTAGTCAAAGACTCCCTTCTTGAAGAACGGTGAGAACTCACAAATGGTGTGTTTGGACAGAGTCAGCCCCACCTTGTCGATGTGCAGGGGAGACGTCGCGGACTGGAGCATCACGCTGAAAAAGTCCCTGAGGTATTTCTGAAGAAGAGACGAGAGTTAAGAACACGGTCAAGACACTGCGGGATGGAGGCGAGGAGACGAAATGTCCAGGAACGACTTCCCATCCACCCGGGAAGCGCTATCTTTGTCATTGGAACTGGCACGCGCAGAATGTCCCCGACCCCCTTAGCTGCCGACAGACCATCCAAGAACACAGAGCCACAGCACACCTACACACAAGAGAAATTTCTTTGGCTCAGGGCAACATTGCCTGAGGTCCACCTGTAGACAATGCCCTGGGTGCCTGGCACAGCGGATCTGCTTCTCAGCAACAGCGTCACTTGTTAATACTCTATTTTTAAAAAGTCATTTCCCCCTCAAGTTACTCATTAAATAGAAAGATGATTAAAAGAAAAAAAAAAAAGGCTGGCCATCTGTACAATGTTAAACGTGCTGCTTATTGTCATTTTGAAATTGCATAGCCAGTATCTGCTATGAATCCTTCTTATAAAATAAAGGGAAAGAAATGTTAGGGACAAGGCCAGTTCCAGGCACTGGTATTTACAGATCTCTCTGCAAACCCTACCGTCACCAACGAAAAGGAATCCTTACCAAGATTAACTGCTCTGGACCCCTTGTTCCCCTAAGCCCGACACGTGTCTGTTGCAACGTCACCCGCCTTTTCTGGCGCGGAGGAGGCAAAACATGTGTGAGACGAGGCTCTGAGACGCAGGGGATAAAATCAGACGTGGGTGCTGGAGGGATGTGTCAAAAGAAAGAGGACGCGAAAGAATAGTGCATATATTTTAGGTCAGGCAAATCTATAACGCAAAATGGGGCAGACGGAAGGGGTTAGACTTAAACCTTTATTACCAACTCGGTGCGTTTAAAAGATATAAACAATCCTGGCACAATCTTCAAAATTAAATATAATAATTCTGGACTTGGAGTCATGATAAAAATGAGTCTAAGAAACATGATCTAAGCCTAGAACAGTGGTTCCCAACAAGGGGTGATTCTGCCCTGCGTGGGATGTTCAGCAATGTCTGGAGACATTTTTGACTGTGACAGGGAGGGGTTGGGTGGTGCATCTAGCAGGAGGCCAGGGATGTTGCTAACATCCCATAATGCACAGGGCAGCCCCTACGACAAAGAATTATCTGGCCCCAAATGTCAATAACGTCACAATCGAGAAACGTTGCCCTAGAAGAAGTAGCATTTAGCTGCCTCTCTGAATTGCCATCCTGAAATTTACTTCTGAGAGAAGACACTCTGCTCAAGGAAAATTTGTTAGCTACTTTCTTTGAAAAAATAAAGATTACTAATAACCTTTGTATAATAACTTAGTTTCTAAGAATCTTCTAACATCCAATTTTGTATACTTTATGTGCACACTAAACTGCACATTCTTGGAATGTGTAATTTGATGAGTACTGGCACGTGTGAAACCACCACCAAATCAAGATAACCAACATGCCTCCAAAGTGTCCCAAGTGACTTAATTTTATGTTATCATCACACTCTGCCTAGAATTACAGCTGCTTCTTGTAATCCCATTTCCTGGTGGGCAAGCTGCTCCTGGAAAAGGACGGCAAGGCTGGTAGTCAAGAGGGAAGAACTTGAAAGCAAGTGTTTTTTTTTTTTTTAACTCAGACGGTTTTCACGTTCAATATTCCTACCTTACGGATCTCACGGTAACCTCTCAAGAAAGGATGCTGAAATTTTAATCAGATAAAGGTAAGAAAGTACTAAAACCCAACTGCTGAAAAATGAAGATCTTAATCTCAAAACTTAAGAGAGGCAAAAGTCAACTCGAACGCAGCTTCTCTGGAGGAAGGGGTCTCTGAGAATATCAGATTTGGAGGGACTTGAATTCCGCCAAACATGGTTACCAGTAAATGTCGTGGACTACGCTCGACCAGCCAGCGCTCACCGTGAAATGTAATGTGCACGACTGATGGCTTTTAGACGATCAAGAGTGAAATGATTTAGAACAAGAAAGACGAGGAGCCTGCCCACGTGTGCACGGAGCTGCAGCTCTCCCATGGTGCAACGCTCGGCTGGAGCGGGACCTGCACAGGCATCTGTGCAGCGGGACCTGCACCGAGCATCTCGGTGGCTCCCGCGTGGCTCCCGCTTCGGGTCTCCCACAGGCTGTCGTTAGCCAGCAGACTAATGTTCACCACGAACTTGCCTTCGAGATGAACCCTGACAGTACAGGAGGCAATTTAAATCTGGGAACAGATGCTGCATCAACATTTGTCATAATTAGTTCACAAAGTAGGGTCCCTTTAAAGGGCCAATAACGCCTAAAGGGTATAATGAAAAGAGAAGTAAAAGTTAAAAATATAAATAAAAAGAAAAAGAGAGGAAGTATTCAAGATGCCTTCCCTGCCAGAGCACCACTGTAAAAAGAGAATAATAAATCAACTGCAAGTAATGCCTTTTTCTTTAAATAAACTCATTAGTATGGTTTGATGAAAACTCCCAATAGAAAGACCCGATTTGACTAATTCTAAACATTACAGAAGAGTTTTTCTCTTTGCAAAATAAATCTCTGCTTAAGGAGAATGAGGCAGCTTTGGCTTCCCTGGTGCAAAGAAATTATTTTATTAGGAAGTGTTCTTTGCTCTCAGGCGACCTCAAAGTGCTCTAAAGTCTGTATGAAGAGGCATGACCTGTGTCTAGGGCCACATGCTTAGAGTGGGCTGAGCAAACCGTGGCGGATGACAAAACCAAGGGACAGGGGCTAGGGCTGGGGACAGAAAAGACAGAAATACAATTCCAGAAGGTTCTTGAGGTTACAGACAGCATCTTATTCTTCTTTGCAGCCCCCCCCCATTATCGGGGACACTGCCACACTCAGGAAAGTTGCCGAGAAGAACCCTTGATGATTGATTTTGATAAGTTAATTTTTTAAAACTGAGGACTATGCACAGGAAACACCACGATCAGAAGTGTACAACCTACTGCATCTTCACAAAGGGGGCACACCTATGCCGCTGGCATCCAGATGTCAGTGACACAACACTGCCAGCCCCCGGGCAGCCCCCCCAGTGCCCCTTCCTCCAGGTACCATCCTTCCATCAAGGGCACCTGCTATTCCGACTTGTGGCACCACAGTCTTGCCAGTTTCTGAACTTCATGTTAACGGGATCACTCAGGATACACTCTCTTTTGTGTCTGGCTCCCACTGCTCAACACCATGCTCGTGAGATGCATCCACACTGTGCGCTGGATAGTAAATAACCCCGGATAAATGTCTAGTACATTGCTTATGATTCTGAATAGCTAAGAATAGTAGTTGTGGCTGGTTCAGTACCACCGTGTGTTCTGCGTGTAAACAACCAATGGTCACTGCTTTGGTCCTTTTTTCTGAGCTTTTCCTCAATAAGGAAATCTACTTCTATTACTGTTGTCTGGTGAGTCAAGTTTATCACTATCCTTCCAGTAGAGAAGTCTCCCCTGAGAGTTTTGGGCTCAACCCAAGATCAGTCGATGTACCAGAATTCTGCTATTATCTACACGTATATTTCTATGTTTTTACATATATTAATTATCCTTATATACAAAATTCTTAACAACGCACATATTCATTTCAGTAATTTTTGTTGACTGTGCTCATAGTATTTTCCACAGCATCAGTAGCTGAAGGGAGAAACTTAAAGTCCTCCTGTCACGGCTGTCCCTTTTTGATGATCCAGAGACATCCCAGCCCTCGTGGGGTGTGAAAATTAAGTCGAGAAGCTGAGCTGCATCCCCGGGGCAGTGCACTTCATAACAGAGTACTGCAGAAACGGAAGGACATTAGGCGTTTAAGTGACTTATCAGGGTCAGAAGGGCAAAGCAGGAAAAGGATTCGTGAAATCCAATATCCAATTTCTGTTTCTGCCTCTCACATGACATTTTCCCCATCTTGAAAAGAAATAAAAGCAGGCATATTTAAATCTCGGTAGCATGTCAGGGACCACAGAAGGCCTTCAGCTCTTGCTCACCCTGTGGACTGTGTCACACCTGAGTCTCTGCTTTGTCAAACGCCCTGCATCAAGGCCACCGAGAACTGCAATTGCGCCCTCTAGGGTTGTGCAATGCTACGGCCCCTGCCTTGGAACCTGGGAGGAGGAAAAGCAGATTAAACCAGATCCTCTTTCAACAAGATGGCAAACCAGGAAATGAGACCCAATGGCAGAGGAAGAGGGGGCTAGGAGAGGGTCTCCTTGAGAGTGAGTGATCACAGGAAGGGAAAGAGGCCTGGAGAGAGGGGGCCACGGAGAGACAGAGGGGACTGTCTGGGGGCTGCCCAGAGAGGAAGGGGCAGGATGGTGGGGAGAACAAAAGAGGCAGGAGCCCCACAATGCCGGAGACAAATGCTCAGGATTTATTTGTTTACCGAGTTGGCAAATAGGATTTAAGAATAATAAGAAATGTATCAGACATTTATCTGGGTTATTTACTTTCTGTGACTTGGACCAACCCTGAAGCATAAATAATGTGTTTTCTTATCAATACTTTCAGAGAATCAAATTTAGATGGCTAATCTTTAAGGTATATTTCAGTGCTGCCACCGAGTACCTCGATGATATACGGTGCCTTTCTTCTACGGGTTCGGGCATGCTTTGTAGCTCGGAAAAGTCACCCCATGCAGGGGCAGTGAGCAAGGGTGGGGAGGGAACTGGGAGAGAAGGACCCCCATGCGCCTGTTCCAAAGGAAGTGAGATTTTTAAAATCCCCCTAAAACAAAGACAAAATCCCATAGGGGGCTATGAGCTTTTAAAGTAGAAGTTAAGAGAAACGAGCAGAGGGATGAGGAACGTGCCAATCATCAGAGACACCCTACACGTGGGCTGCCGGCTGTCATCCACAGAGCCTGTCACCCCTGCCTCTCAGTCGGCCCCCCAGCTGACACCATTGTCTCTCCCTGGGCAAGGCCGTCCACACCAGGCATCTCAGCTGCCTGGGCCAGACACGCTTCGAGTCCCGGGCCTGATGATGCTCTCATGGTGACCAGTGGGCACTGGGTTCTCCAGCATTAATGTCCT